TAGATTAGACTGCTGTGCTTTGCAATAGGGAGGCTCCGTGGGCGTGTACCCCCTGGCCAGCTGTGGGATATAAATCTCCTGGTGTTCCGCTTTCTAAGCCTGGTAAAGCACAGTATTAGGGTGGAGTACCTAGTTTTCAGGTGTTGTGTGTCTGAGTTCCCTTGGCTAGGAAATGGAATTCTTCCTCTGCGCTTCCGGTGAGGCAGTGCCTTGTCTGCTTCGCTCTGCTGATTGGGGGCTGACACCTCACTGGACAGCCACCGATTGTCCAACACGCCCCAGTGAGATGAACCTGGTACCTCAGTTGAAAATGCGGAAATCACCCGTCTTCTGTTTCGCTCACTCTGGGAGCTGGAAGCTGGAGCTGCTTGTATTCAGCCATCTTGGACGCCCCCCCTCCAATTCTTTATTACATTAAAAAAAGTATTTATTATTGTTATTTATTTGTTTATTTGCTTTTATTTAATTATTATTAGTTTTTTTATGCCCACCTGCCCCAACAAACGCAGCCAGCCAATTCATTTAGAAAATACCTTTAAGTGCAGTCAGGTGCTGCATGGTTTGGTCAATGATGGACTGCATATATGGTGGTGGTGCCATAAAATTATAGTACTTATTTTTACTGTACCTTTTCTATGTTTAGATAGGCAATTGTTGTTACAGTTGCTTACATTATTCAGTACAGTAACAGGTTGTATCTAGGAGCAGTAGGCTATAGAATGTAGTTTGGTTGTATCGTAAACTGTATCATCTAGGTTTGCATCAATACACTCCATGATGTTTGCATAATGATGAAATTGCCTCACGTTGCATTTCTTAGAAGATATTTGTGTCGTTAAATGATGCATGATTGTCCATATATATGTTTAATGTCTTTACTTAATTAGAATTATTTGTATATTTTGGCATGTAGTTTATTTTTTTTTTAGCAATAGGTCTTAGAAACTTTCATGGCAGGACAAACAGTAGTGATTCTTATGATAGTCAAGGGAGACTCAGAAGGATGGTAGGGGTAGAGGGTGGTGGATGTTGAGAAGTTAATCGGTTCAGTGTACATTTGGATGATAGATACACTAAAGCCCAGACTCTACCACTACACAATATATCCATGTAACAAAATTACTCTTTTACCCAATAAATTTATACAAAAAAGTTAGGAAAATAGGGTAATTTCTACTTAATTAAAAACTGTAAGGATATAAAGCTTTCTATTTGTAACTAATTCACTTAATAAACTTTACTGTTATGGTCCAAATAAACCACCTTCTAAGTAGGTTTTTGTTTTCATCTCTGTCTGATGATTCTAAGTTGTATTTATGAAATTCTCAAGAATGGGGATTCAGCATACTGCTTTTCTGCGCCTTAGATCCTAACACAGTGCTTGAATCCTGAATGAGTTAATAAACTTGAATAAACAGAAGTGTATCTCTCTGCAGGATTTGTCAGTCTCTTTAGAAGCAGTGTATGGAGAAGCCAAAGAAGGAGCAAATTCTGATGAAATACTTAAAAAATTTTATGACTGGAAGTGTGATAAAAGAGAGGAGTTCACCAATGTTAGAAGCGAAACAGACGCTTCTCTGCAGCGTCTGGTAGCATGGTTCCAAAGAACCTTAAAGGTAATAAAAGCTCCTGCCCTGTTGTGTTTGTAGCATAAACCAGGGAATATATATTTTAAAAATCACATGCTTTGTTCAAGAGCTGACATCGTCTACCTACTATGTATCAGATTTAAACTTGCCACCTTACCAGTCAAGGTTCTTTATTAGCTTTTAGTCAGATTGCTCCTTTTATTAGCCTCAAAAAAATCGTATCAGTCTTGTTCCTCCTTTTTCTCAACTTTTCCTGAGGATTGTCCTCTTCCCTCTCTTAACCATTTATTTTCTTACGGTTTGCTATGCATATGTACCTTTTTCCTTTCAGTGCATAAATTTTATGAGGGTAGGCACTTTTTTTTATGCATTCTTATTTCTTTTACATTGTCCAGGGTATAGCTTAATACTCTGCTTCAGGTATTAAGGCATAATGCATGCTGATTGAATTAGATGAGATGTTTCATGTGTTTATTTTTGCAAATGAGGTTTTTGACCTATCTATGGAAGAACCACTGATTTCTGAAGACACAGTTGATAATATTGATGAAATCCTAGAGAAGACTGAGTCAAGTGTCTGCAAAGAGCTGGAGATAGCTCTGGTTGTGAGTATCGATATTCTTTATTATTGCCGCCTTTGAAGCAGTGTGGTTTCCTTTCATGGTTAGAAAGTATTAACCAATAAGAGAGTTTTTCTTGCTAGTTAGAAGGTATTAAGACTGATCTTAGCTTTCTTCTAATAGGCTTGTTTGAAAGAGTAACCATGTCAACTTCTAATCCAAACACAATGCAAAGTTTTATTCTTAGGTGACGTTTTTGTTTTAATAGGACATTTCACATAAAAAATCTGTTTAATTCTAAGAAAACCGCTCTTAATTTGAGTGAACAATCTGTCTAAATCATTTGATTCTTGAATCTGTCATACCCAATGACTATAAGAAGAGACTCTTTAGAGTTTGTGAAAACTTAAAATCTGAGAGAGATCTGAAAGTTGACACACAAGATGGATTCGTCATCCTCTTTCTTTCACCATTGTGTATATTCTTTGTTACTGTGTCAAGGTAAAAATTAGTGTAGCTACTCCAAAGGGTGTTTTGTAATTTTATTTATTGCTCACTGGGACTCTTTCCCAGTTATTCAGGCTGCTTTCCAGTGTTTCAGTGGTTAGGCTTCTCATTTTCTTGTTTTTTCTTTTTTTTTTACTTTTTATAATTTTATTCATATTGGCATTGAAAATACATTAAGAAGTTTTATATTGTTAAATAGTCCTGATTTAGATAGTTTTGTCAGAGTTGGTTTTAGAAGTAGTTGTTAACAGGCTATTTCTAAAAGTAAGGTGTTGAAGGTCTATATGTTGTTTATAGTTCTTATATTTAGCATATTAGTATCCCTGATTTCCATTAATGCCCTTACTCCACACAGCTTTGGGAATAATGGTGTAATAGGGGTAAAGTTTCCCATATGAATGGCTTTGGTTTTTTTAGAGAGACAGTGTCTTGCTCTGTCGCCCAGGCTGGAGTGCATTAATGTGATCCTAGCTCACTGCAGCCTTGAACTCCTCAATCTCCCTGCCTCAGCCTCCCTTGTAGCTAGGACTACAGGTGAATACCACTGTGCTCAGTTAATTAAAAAAATATTTTTTAGGGACTGGGTCTCACTATGTTGCCTGGCCTCCATATGAACATCTTTGATATCTGTCTTCTGTCTGGGAAAACATTCGTGTTTAAGAACTGTTTTGAAATCATTACAGAAATCCGTTAAAGGCATAATTTTGAAGTTTATCTATTGTTATTGGAGACTTTAGCTCTTTTGGATATTCCTTTGTGTATAATTCTATGTGTGTGATTTCCTTTAGGATCAAGGTGATGCAGACAAGGAGATAATTTTAAATACATATAGTCAAGTACTGCAAAAGATTCGTTCAGAGGAAAGGCTCATTGCCACAGTACAAGCTAAGTACAAGGACAGTATTGAGGTTTGATTATGCTTTCTCTTATTGATCTTATAAATTGATGCTTTGAACTTTTTAACACTTAAATTTTTCTCTTGTTAATACTCAGTGTCAGTAAATTATCTATTATTACTAGAATTCACTATCAACTGGAAATGGTGATTTTTGATGATATAAATATATCAAATTTTTAAATTATTTTAAATCTTTTATTTTCTTATGTCTATGAGAACCACAACCATTAACATCATTTTCTTTTTGTCTATACACATCTACTGTAGATAATTTGCTATATACAGAAAGATAAGAAATAAAACATTGCTTATAATTCCCTTAGCCTAAGAGATAATTTTAGAGTAGTTACTGGATGTGCATCTATATGTTTGTGAGCATATATATATATATGCATCACATTGTTTTGTAAGTTATTTCAAACATACTTTCTTCATGTAATGGTATATTATGAACATTTTTCTATATGATTAATGATTTTTCTATACTGTCATCTTGAGTGACAAAATCCTCATCCCTATGTAGATGTACAGCAACATTAACCATTAACCTTTCATGTGTGTTGGACATTAAGGTTACTTCCAATTTTTTCTACCATAAATAACACTGTACATATGTTTGTGCATAATTTTGTTTTGTTTTTATTTCTCAGATTTCTAAATTCTATAATTACTGAGTTAAAAGGAATGGACATTATTAAAGCTTGATACATATTTTCAAACCACTTTTGGGAAAGATGATTTCAGTTTACATCCTCACTAGAAATTCCTTTTTCATCCATACTAACAATGTGTGTTTTATTGTATGTCTCAGTTTGAAATACTACTTTTGTCTTTGCTACTTTGAGTGCTGGAACTGATATTCTTCTAAATAGAAACATGGATAAAAGGAAATCTATTGAATTATCTTGTTGAAAAATAAAGATTTTCTTAGTATCTCAACCTGAACTCAGTAAATACTAGTTGAATCTTAACAGATAAATAATAAATGATCACTGTTCAATATTTTTCTTATGTGTTTGAAAATACATAACTTTTGTTTACTTAGTTTAAAAAGCAGCTTATTGAATATTTAAATAAGAGTCCCAGTGTAGATCACTTGCTGTCCATTAAGAAGACATTGAAAAGCTTAAAAGCTCGACTGAGATGGAAATTGGTTGAAAAGAATAATTTGGAAGAGGTAAGGAAACAGTTGATTCTTACTGATCTTCATGTGCATCTCATTTTACTTGGTCTCTGCTTCATAAAAATAATGCATAAATACACTCTTTAAGAGATCCATTACATTCACAGTTTTATATACTTTATCTTGTTTTCTGTGTATATAAATAAAATTGAGATTATAGTAATAGTGTAAAAATTGTCCTATATCATTAAATATTCTTTAAAAACATTTTCCTAGGTTGCCTTGGTTTTTAGTAACGAACGTTTTAGAGTAATTTTAAAAGCTCTTTTGGTTTGGACTGTTAGAATGTTTATTGTAATACCAACTTGCTACATGCAGGTGACAGGGTACTCCCTCAAAGGTAGCGTTTTGTCATAAAGTATTTTTAAGATCATGGTATCTTTTGTTAACTCCCTTTTTATGGATAGATGTAATATTTCTTGCAAGTATTTTAAGTTGTTTTTATATGATAATAGAACTGGAAGGATTAGGATGCCCTAATCTGGACTAACTTCTTCCTTTAGGCTTGAAACTTTGTGAATAAGATGGTAATACTTTGTGTTCCCTTGAGGATTTGATTTATGTACAACAAGGATCTGTGTTATGCCTTTCATCCAATTTGAATTATCTGTCTTCTACTTCTGAGCACTGAATTGGGAGTGGAGTGGGGACTATTCTAGAACTAATATCATAATCGAGGAGCTTTCTAGTTTTATTCTATTCTGGGCTTTGGGGAAGTTTTTTTTTCTGGTCTGAGTTTTCACCTTTTGGAGAAATCTGACTTTTATTATACTTTAAATTCTGGGATACATGTGCAGAATGTGCAGGTTTGTTAGATAGGTATACATGTGCCATGGTGGTTTGCTGCACCCACCAACCCATCACCTACATTAGGTATTTCTCCTAATGCTATCCCTCCCCTAGACCCCCACCCCTTGACAGGCCTGGTGTGTGATGTTCCCCTCCCTGTGTCTATGTGTTCTCATTGTTCACCTCAAGTTATGAGTGAGAACATGTGGTGGTTGGTTTTTTGTTCCTTTGTTAGTTTGCTGAGACTGATGGTTTCCAGCTTCATACTTGTGCCTGCAAAGGACATGAACTCATCCTTTTTTATAGCTGCATAATATTCCATGGTGTATATGTGCCACATTTTCTTTATCCAGTCTATCATTGATGGGCATTTGGGTTGGTTCCAAGTCTTTGCTATTGTGAACAGTGCTGCAATAAACATACGTGTGCATGTGTCTTTATAGTAGCATGATTTATAATCCTTTGGGTATATACCCAGTAATGGGATGGCTGGGTCAAATGGTATTTCTAGTTCTGCCTTGAGGGATTACCACACTGTCTTCCACAATGGTTGAACTAGTTTACATCCCACAACAGTGTAAAAGCGTTCCTATTTCTCTACATCCTCTCCAGCATCTGTTGTTTCCTGACTTCTTAATGATCGCCATTCTAGCTGGTATGAGATCGTATTTCATTGTGGTTTTTGATTTGCATATCTCTGATGACCAGTGATGAACATTTTTTCATGTGTCTGTTGGCTGCATAAATGTCTTCTTTTGAGGAATGTCGGTTCGTATCCTTTGCCCACTTTTTGGTGGGGTTGTTTTTTTCTTCTAAATTTGTTTGAGTTCTTGGTGGATTCTGGATATTAGCCTCCAGCTTTGTTCTTTTGGCTTAGGATTGTCTTGGCAATGCTGTCTCTTTTTTGGTTCCATATGAACTTTAAAGTATTTTTTTCCTATTCTGTGAAGAAAGTCGTTGGATAGCTTGATGGGGATGGCATTGAATCTATAAATTACCTTGGGCATATGGCCATTTTCACGATATTGATTCTTCCTCTCCATGAGCATGGAATGTTCTTCCATTTGTTTGTGCTGTCCTCTTTTATTTTGTTGAGCAGTTGTTTGCAGTCTCTCCTGGAAGAGGTCCTTCGCATCCCTTGTAAGTTGGATTCGCTAGGTATTTTTATTCTCTTTGTAGCAATTGTGAATGAGAGTTCCCTAATGAATTCTGCTCTCTGTTTGTCTGTTATTGTGTGTGTATAGGAATGTTTGTGATTTTTCCACATTGATTTTGGATCTGAGACTCTGCTGAAGTTGCTTATCAGCTGAAGGAGATTTTGGGCGAGACGAATGGCGTTTCTAATATACAATTCCATTATC